AAAAAAAAAACCCCGAAATGAGCAAAAGTGGACTTGAGTATTAATCTGATATATCTGCAATTACTAATAGTCTTTTTGTCTTCAGTGATTTCACAACTGTCAGGTTCATTAAGATTATTTTAACAAGTCATCATTTATATCGTCATATGCAGCTATAAACTGCATGTTCACAGCCCAATTTACCACAGATCTCTAGATAGTAGTACTCTGACTGTATCTTTTTAGTTTAACAGTTTTGGCACATTTAAAACGTTTTAGAAATACGTCAAAATGCAGAAAAGAATGCTCATGCTAAGATTTCAGTACAATAAATAATCAAATCTATGAACTGGTCCGCAGCATACAGAATTTAGCCAGTTACAATAATTATAATTCGAGGTTTGCAAATCTGTAGACATATTAGCAAAAGATTATTTTTGTTACGTCTTTTACACTCAGAAATTCACATTATCAAAGCAGAAAAAAGTTACTTTATTAAAAGGAGAAAGTACAGCTAATCAGCCAAATGCACTTTTTCAACAAATGATTTACATCCTACTACAAATTTTATGCTATAAGTATGAGTATTTTTTAGAAGGCAACCAATAAACTTAAAAATGTTCTTAAAGAACGATAAGTAACAGTATTTAAGGTAAGTAAGCTAAGAAGAGGAACGAGCGTTTTAAAAAATGATCAATTACTGGTATATGAAATATTGTAATAACAATTTCCAAGAATGGACTACAATAAACTAAAATCGTGTTGTAATCAAGCCTTTTAAAATCAAATAGCAGTAAGCCGATGATGTGGGTAAGACGAGTAATTTTGAAAGCAGTAACTAATGAATTTTGGAGATATTTTAGTTCTTATCACACAGAACAATTAACAAACAAAAGAGCAAAATATTTGGAAACTACAGTTACAAAACTACACTCCTTTTAATACTTCTCCCATAACTTTAAATGAAACCATTAAATAAAATTTTATACATATTGAGCTAATGCTGTCAGCTGACAGTGACATTTCAAAGTTATATGCCATACAAAAGTCAAACCTGTTCTTCGACAAATTTTACAAACTGTTCAGATTTGCCGGTGAGAGAGCCTCTCTGATTCTGTTCCACAAATAGACTCTGCTGTTTTTCGAATTTAGAAAGAGGTATGAGACACCAACTACGGGAAGAGTGCGGTGTGACACGGTATAGTCCTGTTGTTTATGCCTCTTTTTCAGTAACTTTGCTGCTGTTGAGTTTCTTTTAAAAATGTAACCTTCAATAACCTTCTTGACTTTCTCCTACTAAAGAATATGAAACACCGGCTTTTTCTCTGTCTCAGGTAGTCAACCAGCATAATCATCGGTACTTGTTTAATTCAACAAGAAATACCGGTTAATGAAGAAATTATAAACATCGACTGCCAGTGTGCACTGACAATCTCAACAATTGATGACGTAACTATTCCAAGAACTTATCACCTACTTTGATGCAAATATCAAGCCACTTTGTTTGATCTTACTCAGAATACCAACATTAAAAGCTTCCCAGAGAATAAACATCTGTACTCACAAAAACTCCACCGTAAATAAGAAACAAATTTTTGTTTTTAGTTAAACAAGAAAGCCCTGCAGTGCAAAAAGTACTGCCGTACCCCGTCTTTTTGTCTCAACTCCTCTTCCAGTACCCAATGGGCACCCACCTTTTACACCCAGAATCTAAATTCGCTTTATAGAGTCCACTGTCAACGCTACAGCAAAAAATAGTTTTTTTTAAATAGTAATTTCACAACCAGTGCTAATATTACAGTACATTTAGTAAAGTGCAACAGCAGCAGCAAACTTTTAACAAAAACTAACAGACAACAAATTTCGTTATTCTTTTTTTGTTGCAAGTAAAAGAAAAAGGAAGTAAGATAAAATTAAAACAAAAAACTTCTTTGTATGAAAGTAAATTTACAAAGAGGAAGAATATACTACAAAAACCAATTTTTATTATAGATTGCCAAAAATTTGACAGCAACAAAACTAAAATGAAACTTCTTCGACATCGTCAAATACCACTGCCGAACACCCATTATATCACATTAATTAAAAAAAAAATATAAACTGACAGAAAAAACAGCACTAAAAAAGCTTACAATTGTCACACACAGTCGATGAAATACTAGGACAAAACGGTGACTTAGAAATTTCCGGCGATAAAAAAATAAAAAAATAAAGCCTCCAATACAAAAAAAAAGTCAAGCATAAGCAAAACCCTGGCAACTCTGTTTTACAATAAAATAAATGTACGTGACTAAAAATATTGTTTTTAAAAATAAATTTAAATCTAAGAAAATACCTCCTTAATGTCTTAAGAAGCCATTAATGAGGATACAATTAAAAAAAGAAGTTACATGACACGCTCCTAGCACTCCGTAACCCATTTTAAAGCTCATAATCGACTTCTTCCCTTAAAATATCAGCGCCAATAATCCAATAACTTATACACCGGTTCTTGGACGATTAGATAATAAGCATATTCCACTGCACGTTTACAATTCATATTGTAAATGCGCTTCAGCTTTCCAAACAGAATTGATTATTACAATCTTTACAAAAGAAACAATGTTACGATCTGGGAAGTGAGAAAATAATAAAGAAGAAAGTTTATAAACCAGGGTGCAGCTATTAGTAAGCTTTAAAAACACCAAAAAACAGATAAAACAATGAAGTTCCCAAAAAACCAGTTTATAAACACAGTGGTCATTAGAAATGTTTCTCAGCAAAGTATCCTTAGAGAACTTTAAAACTATCATTGCAACTAAACAGCATATTAATAGAGATCCCGGAACATCTGACTTATTAATGCAAAACAAAAACATTTCTCAGACTAACCGTGGCAACAGGATTTCTGCTGAATCTTCTTTTACACCAAATTCACATAAAATTAAAAGTTTTTGGCCACTGAAATTTATACACATGCAAAGACGATAGTTTTACACATAAAGAAATTAGCTGAAAAGAGAGACATCAAAAAAGCATAAAAACTAAAGATGACTGAGAATTAAGCTTACTCAAAAAAAAAAAAATATAGTTACCACACCAAGAAAGTTTCTTAGGTGCACAAAGCCAAGGAAATATACTATAGATGTACAGACACGTATCGAAAAGATTAAACTAAAACGAAAGTACAGAGACAGATTGAACCAATGCAGCGCTTAGTATGAAATTTATATTGAACATTGAAGTGATAAGCATCGTTGTGAGCGCGTTAATGCGAGACGATAAAAAACCAAGCACATCAAGCCAAAGTATACAGAGCAACTAACGTTAAAATTAGTTGTCATTTTAACTAAATCCAACAACTGCATTGTTTGTAAAATTTCTTGCTTAAGCTGTAAAAACTGTTTGCCTAAATCACAGTTGCCTTAGGGTCGTTCGGGTCTGCATATTGCAGCTGAGTCGAAGCGTTTGTAACAACCGTACCATATTGCTGCACAAGGACTTCATTTCCTACTGGTACTGTTGACAAAGTGATATTACTATGTTGTATTGTTGTTGTACCCTGTTGTGAAACTACTGGCGGAATTTGTGTTGCTGCAGATGATTGTGACGTTTTTGCTGTAGTCAATGTATGTGGTTGAACTGCAGCTTGCACAACCGTCTGCTTCTGTGGCACAGCAGATACTTGCTGAGATAAGCTAGACTGTAACAACGAAGATGCATGCTGAGTTGCAACTGAAGCAGCCGACAATGAGACTGACTGAGGCTGTTGTTGTAGAGGCGCTGTTTGGGTCGAAGTTGCAGTATGTTGCGAAGCAAAAGTTGGGGCTACTGCCGCTACATTGGGTAAGGCTGCTTGCGGCTGCATACCCAAAGGCTGTGATGACTGGGAACTGACCGGCTACAAA